TCCACCTCCACTCAACCTCAGCTGAATAATTACAGTTTCTCACCAAAATAAAACTCACTTTGGCTTTGGTTTAGTATATTTCCAGGCGCATTAAGTAGTGCATATAATAGTGCATACAAAGCAACCTGTCAGATTTACAGGACAGACAACGCAACAACAATAGGAGGGGTCACTTCCCTTCTCCCTCTTTATTTCTATTTCTGTCCACTGCTGGAGATTCAAATGCTCAGATTTAGACCTCAACTTTTTTCACGACTATTGTATAAAATATAGAAGGAAGGAAGGAGCAGAACTAGCCAAGTACTTATAAATATCTCTGTACATATATAAATGCAATGAAGTATTATGGTCATGCTCTTATAATGGCTGCTATAGTTTGGAGTGCATTTCAAAGGAGTCATTCTAGTTTATTCTGTTTGCAATTTCGTATTAAACCTGACTTAAATTCCCGTCAATATCGACACTTGACTCAACAAGAAAGGAAATCTAGATGTAGATTTAATTTGCAGAGATCTGATTAGGCGGAACAGAGGAATAAAAATATTAGATTTACAGCAGTTAAACATCATTTCCTCTGTTATAGTTATTACTGTTTCCCGTATTTCTCAACAAAAAATGGGTGCAGTGATCTCAGGTCACTTCCTGTACATTTACTGCTTAGGGATACATACTGCATAAATTCGCCTCTGACAATGAGTCTGAGTGACCGACGATAAAACCAAGCAAACTCTTGTTACATTACAAATTCTGTAACAGTATCCTTTTCATCGACGGATTCTTTGTCCAGCTTAATTTTGGTTCTCACATACATGCAAAGCGCATATGATTAACTTTGTTAGCAAAAGTGGGCGTTTTTCTCTTTAGCTTTTTCTGGAGTATTTGCTTTGATTCAGAGTTGGGTTAAAATTTGCTGTGTAACTTACAAATTCCTTCTTATTTGTTTGAATTTGAATTTGAGCTTAAAAAGTATACACATATTTACAAGTATGCATCACGAAGTGTATGAACTGCGTATTTCAAGTAAAACAAAAGAGATCAATTTTAGTTGGTGTATTGTTTGCCTGGCCAAATTACATTCGTAGCTAAAGAAAGAATAAATATTAGATGTTGTTATACACAGGCAAAAAATGGGAGTAAAGTGTCGATTCGATCATTTTCTCTGTTCTGCTCTATTTGTGAAAACGCCCATTCTCATATTAACTTAGGACTCGTGTATCTCTTATACAAGTAAGAGTGCCATTGAATACACGATCTCTAAAAAAACCCAAAGGATTTTTGCAATTTAAGAACGTTTCAATGTTGAAACTACTAAAAATAGCAAAAACGCCCACTTCTACTTGTTCTCTTTCCAGTTCTACTTTACTTTGCGTCATGGCATTGTAGCAGCTACTAAAGTATTCCGTCTAAATCGCAGAAAGCACAGGAAACGTCAAACAACTTATTGTCTCAAATCCAAGCAAGCTTTTTTAACGCGGCGTACTTTACGTTTCATCCTTTGGTTTAAAGGATTAAACAAAAAAGTAATTTGACAAATTCCAATGCTCTCCTTACTTGGAAATGACACACGTGACCTTAGTCACTCGCATGTGGTATAAAAATAAAAGCCTAATAATGAAATGAGACAGAAGGAGCGAAAATGTTTCTTCTTATCATAAGTATGTACATAGAAATATGAAACATTATGCATACGAATAAGTACTTTTTACTCTGTGAATATATGTGAATATATGAAATTGCGACAAAGGCTATCTACCAAACAAACCATATAAATATTATATAAATACCAAACATGTCTACAATACATTTATCTGAGAATGACGATGGTTGGAGCAAAGGGGATCTTTATTGTTACGAACGACTTTACAAATACTTTCCATCATTTGGTGTAAATATCATTTTTATCATCTACGTTTTACCACGAAACACTTACATATTCGCTGCGTGTAGAGGTGATCTCAATGAGATTGTAAAGTTAAGTTCCATCGCTCCAGTAATTGAACTCAAATGCAAATCATGATGGGATCTCAAGGGTATTCAATTGCAGTTGGCATTTTTTAATGAACAGGACGGTGAATTGAGAGTGAGGGAACAAATAGTGGCAAAGCAAGTAAAGTAGCACAATCATCATCTGCAGAATGTAATAACAATTTATGTACAATGTACGCGTATTAGCAATACATTCAAACCAAACCATTATTATTTGGTATAAAAATTGTCGTAATCGTTTTCTTGTTATCACCAACACAAGCAGCGAGTAGCAGCAGTACTAATATACATAAATACGTATATGCATTGACTCATTTTACATAATTCAATAGTCAACAAGAGTGAATCGCAAAGTGTGAGATAAGTTGGTGGCAGACCTTTGCGCCTTGATTGATGTAAGTACTATATTAAAAGTAATCTTTTGGAATGCGTTATCTCAACAGCGATGAATTTAGTAGGAAAAGAACTAGACTACGTAATAAATATGTGATGGTGGTGGTGGTGGGCAATTACCTACAATTAAATTAATAATAATAAGCAAAACTGGAGATTATGTGTTCAATAATTCATAATTTTCTCATGTGGGTGGTATTCTTCACAACACATTTTCATGTAGTCACATGATTTTACCTGTAGTACAACGTACTACCAAAACTTTGTAATTTTTAAGTAAGAGAAATATACCTAAATATTGAAATTTGTAAGTGTAAAACGTTTTTTGCAGTACAGTCAAGCTAAGCTAATAATTCCAGAAGGATATGGCATTTGACTTTGCCTTCGTATCCCCTCTTATCAACAACAGCCGTGGACAATAAGAGCATGACGACTGTAAAATATTTTCATGAGAAGTGGAAAGTGGGAATTATTGTATTCTGCTAATGCTAAAGCAGATAATAATGCTTCAAGGTGATAGTGAGATCAGAAGAGGATGAAGAGATGGATGGATGCGACTTGTTGAAAAGTGCAAAATTCATTGAAATCAATGTGGTCAAAATATATTACACGCAAGATAATAAACATGACAGCCTATCCACATCCTTACTTTTATGGCGAAGGATAATGCATAACTTTTTAATAATTCAGAGGTATGCACAAATTCAGTCCTACCTACAATTAAGCATTTTCACGAAACTGGGAAACGAGTAAGGTGACGCGACCTGGCCGAGATGTGATGCTCATATACGCTGTATCTTCTAATATTGTATTACGTTTCCTTTTTGCGAATAATCACAACAAAAATCATGTACTGCTTCTGCTGATGTACAATTCCACAACGAAATACCATTCAAACGTTGTTGTTAGTACATAAGTTTGCGTATATTCACATGTAAGTAATCATGCATAATCCCTCAGATTAAAAATGGTGATATGAATCCATTAGTTTAAGCATGGGACGTTTCTCTTACACAATGATAATTTGACAACTCAAATTAGAGGTAAAAATGACAAATAGTTGTTAAAAAATCAAGAAAGTTTAAGTGAAAGTAAGTTGGGGTTTCTCAAGACATGTACATAAATATGATTTGTTGGATCTATTTTTGCTCCGTATATTTGTGGACGATGAAATAATGCAAATATATGAGAAATAAATTGATTTGTTACTCAGCTAGTCTTTAAATTGTTTTTTTCAACAAAGGTTTCCGTAAAATTGAAAAGTTTTGAAAAGTTTACAGATTGCACATTTCAGGTTCTTGAAATTTTTAAGAACCTGAAATCTTTAACATATTTAAATTTGCATAATTTGTCTCAATCCATCCCCATGATTCGTTGTATATTGTCATGAAAGCTATAAGAATCCTGCAACTACAAGATCTCACCCCACCCCTGGGGCGTCTTAAGACTTCTTGTCTTGACCAAGCTTTCTTAACTCGTGGGGTAGAAAGTTGAAAATTTCGTACCTGTTACAGAAGCGAGATTTGTGCTGTGTGAAGAAATGTGGGGGGACAGGTGGCTGTTTTTGAGCAGTGTCGTGGATGAGACAAGTTGGGTGTGGATGGGAGGTGAGAATCCTTGCTGCGGGTGGTCGTGGGGAAGGAGCACCTTTAAGAAACTGGTGCTGCAAGAGTTTGCTATTTGCTCGAGAGAAGTGAAAGTGGTTGAAGTGAGCTTAGCGGAGAGAGCGGGTGGAATGCGAGAGGGTGAGACGACGACTCCCGGGTATCTCTCTCTCTCTCGCTGGATAAGAAAACGAGAGGCAAGCAAGTGCAGAACTTCCTTCAGATTTCAATATGCTCAAGAACACCACCACCAACCACCACCAACCACGGCCACGACTTACTAGCCTTCACATCATCATAACAGCATAGCCAAAAACTAGCAGAACATGCTCCTGCTCTTTTCGTTTAGCTGTACAATTCCCAGATCTCTTGAGTCAAACCAGCTATTATAATATCATCTCTATCGAGAGCAAGCCAAGCAGCTCTAGAGAAAGAGTTGAGGTTTCAGAGGAGGGAGTTAACAATAATGCATCGTGTTGGGCCAGCCTCACTTTAAGACAGGCTCCGAATTGTGTGCATCGCTAATTATAACCAAAAACAATTCTAGCAAAAAATGTATTTAAAAAAAACAAATCAATCACAGAATTTATGCTGAACCTCAAACCTCTATTTCTACGATTGTTATGCAGATAAATTATGGACCAATATTACCAACACCATCATCACCATCGTCATCCTTCCCTCTTGTGTGATATGTACTTCCTATACACACTCTGGCGAGTACAACTTGGGTCCGCTGTTTTAAATATTTAAAGTCTCGCCACAATGAACTGATCAGTTCCACTCAACAACATATAAGTATTTAAGTAGGTATCAAAAGCTTGATGTTTTTAAGAAACTTTTTTCGACTAGGTGGTCGAGGGAGTGAACCATGATTTGCTGTTTTACATACATATAATATGCATGCCACTCGTATTCGTTGCATAGGTATATAATCAGAGGACTTGAAATGTTGATGGCAATGGCATGCAAGGTTTATAGTGAAGTATTTGAAAAATGGTTTAAAAAGATTCTTACCTCATTTGAAGTTTTCACTTTCTTCGACTTTTTAAAGAAATTATTAACCGTTGATTTTTTAATGAAATTATGTAGTGCACCAACAACTAGTTACTTAATAACCAATCCCCAATGATTAGTAGCACATCGAGCGGAATGAGTCTTGTGGATAAAATTTTGCGGAATTCTTCTTGGTTGTTGGTTGTCCTTGCTGGAATTGAAGTAATAATAATGGCGATGATGAGCAAGTTTATGAAGGCATTAAAATATTTTGCAGGTGCTCGCTCTCACTTAATCTATCCACTTTCAATTCAGTACAAAAACGGCGACGTCAATTGGCCAAACCAAACCACAGCTCAAATAATGAATCCATTTATCGCCCTAAGTTTAAGTACACGAGCACGAATAAGATAGAGCGGAGAGGGAAGAGAAGGTGAGATGAGATACCGCAACAGCGAGGATGCAATAACCAATAATAAATCAGCACCGAATAAATGTATGTAGGCAAACATGCCAAATTGATATGAACGTATTCGCCAAGCACTAAATATAATAAGGCGAGCAAGGTGGCAATGATGTAAAATTACGTTACTCAATACCACATTCCACTTACTTGGCCCTCGTCGGAATATCATCACACTCAAAAACATCAACTTTCATAAAAATCCAAGCTTAAGCATTTTTCTGTAATCATTTACCACTTCAAACTAATCTAGATGCATCGTTTATGTAGTTGGTGGTGGTGAGTAAATATCTTGTGCTAATTGATGTCACAATCTCTTAGAATTAGTTTGTTCTTTTTGTATGAATGCAAATAAAACTCATAGCATCATCCGGATTTCTCATAATTTTAAGTTTTCTTTTCTAAAAATGACACATTTTTCGCTTATTATACGTCATGATGACGGGAAGATGACATTGAAAAAAAATGAATCATAACTAATTCCCAGAGTTTATATCGTTTTTATAAGTGCTTAGAAAGTTAAAGCAGGACAAGGTATTATTCAGATGGTGGTAAGTATGACGATGGATAGTTCATGCACTTATCGCATCCTAGAGACTTATCTTTTTTCAGAAAAGATAAGTCCTGGGTGTACCGCCAATTCTCCAATATATACCGAATGGAATGAAATCACTCTTTGTTTGACATTGTGATCTTCATCCATCCGGACCACTACTACAACCATACGCGTAAGCACAAGCATTACGACCGATGATAACATTATTATGTGTATATATGTATCAAGTTGATGAGTTTACTGCATCGAGGAGATGGGATTTTGCTTCATATTCATGATGCTGACTGATGCTTGCTTACAACAGACTTCGTCAATTTCGAGGAAGGTAAGATGATAACACACCTTATCAACTTTCCATTCCAGATTCCCCACTTTGGCAAACTGGGCGAAACTGCTGCGCAAATAAAATCTCTAATCTATTTCTCTCTCTCCCTCTCCCTCTACACAATAATTGGGATAAGGTGATCGAGTGAGGGCGAGATGTGCATGAGGCATTTTGGAGGAGAATGTGTGTCATCTTTATTAGAGTTTTGTTTCCTTCGCCTTTATTTGAACGTAATGTTGTTCGCGATAATCGAATTTTGCATGAGACTTTGAAGAGGGACACAATAATTCGTCGCATCGTGATAAGATTAAGACCAAAATGAGACCAACCTTTAACCCAACCAACCAACCAACCAACCAACAATCCTAGACGGACAAACTACACATGTACAGAAGTATGTTCATGGTGTCGTATAGATGCAAATTCCAGCCAAGTTTTTTACGCGCATGAGAAAGTGAGAGGAATGGCTAGCGGAAGATGAATAGTGTTGCTATTAATATCCGCGTGTTGGGACTAAAAAGAAAAACGGGGAGGGCGAAAAGTCTATAGTGCGAGGAGGGAGCGTCTTGAGCGGAGATTGGTCTCAAGAAAAAGACGCTGCGTGCAAGAATCTGCGCGTCGCGAATCTCTTTCTCAAACTCCTCCCCCTCTCGGTTCGCCAGTCTCGTCGGTCACCGCCTCTCCCACGCTTCTTCCCACAAAACTTCTCGACCAGAACCTCCACCACATGCATACTTAACCCTTCTTTTATTCACAACCTCAGCCTGCAGTCACAGTAGCTCCCTGAGTGAAAGACTCACAGATTCGCACAAAATAAGATGAAACCTTTCCCCTTTTATTTGTCATTAGTTGAAGTCATGTGTCCAGCGTCATGCACATATTCGAAGTCTGCAAAGCATGATTGTTTATGCAGCAATTTATGGTGATCATTGATATAATCGTCGATAGGACGCGTGGATGACCCCGGAGGTGCAAGTTTGTGCACGACCCCAGAAAACCGTGGGAGTTGAAGTGGTGGTTCAGCATGGACAGTGCTTGAGGAAAGGTTCTTACGACGGTGAGGTCCTTGGCGTAGACTGCTCTCTCTCTCTCTGCCCTACTTAAACCACGCTCCCGAAAACCCGGGTAGCCTCTCCTTTCTCTCTCTCAAAACTAAAACTCTGGAGAGGGAGAAAGCATAAACTGATGTGCAGTGTGTCCCATGCTCAAACTCAATCGCTGGTTATATAATGCTTTTTTCATAATGATGGCTCTTTGCTGTGAGCGTGAGCGAATGGAAATGCCTACAAATTTCTTCTTTGCATGTCATATTCTGCACCATGTACTTACGTACGTATACTTTTCTAAATGGCGAAAAAAGGTGCTATGCAAAGATGAAAAGATGACTTTAAAGGTGGCTCAGTGTGTGCATAAAGTTTTTTTTATAGAGTGAACTGGAATATAAACGCAAGTGCTCTTATAAGACTTTCAAACTGCGTGGATGATCTGATCCACCTCCGACAAAAGTGGAAGCAGCCTCCTCATGCCTCGCACTCACTGCTAGTCCTTTTCTTTAGTTTTGGAGCAACTCTAAATTCTAATTCTGAGTGAGCTGACCAAAGAACGGTGTCTATTCTGCACAACTCGCACTGGAGATTCTAGTCTATCGATTTTTCCCACACTACCACCGCACCTACGACCATATCATCATCATCATCATCACCACCACACACACCACCCATCTTCCTTCCACTTCCTCCAGAATAATTTCACTTTCTCCTCTTTCACTCAGACTGTTGGAGTCCACATGTGTGGCCATTGGCCTGATGCCAATGTCTCTTACCTCTCTCTCTAGATCTAACATCCCTGCATACATACATTTGTACATTCATGCATGCAAACAAACCAAGTAAGCGTAAAGAACAGACCTCGTCTTCAATTTCGATTTTCGATCCTGCAGATGTTTATCCCAGAATCTGGAGCCGTTGATCCCCTGTGGCGTCTCGGGCAGAGTGCCCGCAATGGATGTTTTATGACTTGACCAACCGGAGAGATCTTGATGTGTGTGTGTATGTATTTACGTATTGGTATAAGAGAGAAGGACGATACGATCGTCTGGTCAATCTCACCCAAATCAGAAGAAAGTGTATTGGGCAAAATGTATAACGCGTGGCTTTACTTGATCTTGAGGGAAGACAAAGGCCATAAATAAGATGGGCTTTCCCAATTTCCTTGATTCACTCTTAATGTTACTTTCCACACTAGGCAATCAGTAAATCCAGACATCTGGCCATTTTTCACATTTCACCAAAATGTATCTGCCTTGTGTCAAGGAACTAATATGAGGATAAGATTATGATACCGTGGTCATAAGGAGTTCTTGATGCACAAACCTCACACACATTCAAACAGAACGATAAAATATCCTAGTACAAAACCTTTCAAGTTGGATCGAAGATTTAATTAAAAAATAATAAACGCTAAAAGACTTAATTTCGATAACTGAGAGAGATACCTTCTTGAGACGTTTTTCTTCACTTGGTTGACTGATACTGCGTCTTGGTCTGACGGCGGTTAAGTAATGAAGTTGGAAGTTGGAACCGTTAAACTTTTCTTCCTCCAAAGATTTCTTCCGTTTTCTTTTCTTTTCATTGGAAGAACCAGACCTCAAAGAATTCTATTATCCGGAGACCTCACCTATCATCATCATAAGTGAGCCAGGCCATCATCGTGTGATGCAACATGGACCACTATGTATGTCCAACCGACTTATCAAATGGACCTAAATACATACATACATATCTGCAGAATGCATGAGAGCGAGAGAGTGCGTGTGACGTAACAATGAAAAGAATATCTTCGTATGCGAATATGTGGAAAGACTGGTTCTCCTTCTGCGGGATGGATTTAAAGTTTAAAGGTCTTTGAACAGCCAAGCCAACTGCATTGAAAGGTTCTTTAAACGTGAGAATGTACGTACGTATGAAAAGAAAAGAAAGGTCGCTTCTTAAGCAACAATGGTAATGGATTGGGCCAGAGAAGAAGCTGTTGCGAGGAGGATGGAAATAGTAACGGACAACTTTCCGTTTCTTCCGTTTCTTCCTTAAGGGACTTTCCTCATGCTCCACAAGTTGCGAGAGAGGCAAAAAAGGTATAAGATTTGCCCAAGGTGATAAAAGCTCTCCCCTCAAAGACTCACTTATTTGGGAGGGTATCATTTTATTGCTTGAGAAATTCCCTCTCTTTCTCCCCAGCTCCTCGCACGTATTTATGTAGATACGAATAAGGACACAGTAGGAAGTACATCAAGTTCTGGAGGGAACCGGCTTCCTCATTATTCTCGGCTGATTTAAAATTCTTCACATTTCTCTTCTTCCAATCTTTCTTTGGAAAACCGGTCCGAATTGTTTCTTGGGAAGTTGCTGAGTTCTTTTACAAACATTGAGTGTTGCAGGGACGCAGATCTCCTCGCGAGAGTATGTACCTTTATATTGTTGCGATATAAAAATGCAACGTAGGGAACGAGAGGACTTTAAATAAAACTTGTAACTTTCCCACACCATTGGAGGTAACTTTAGTCTTATTGAAAATGTAAAATTTTTACAAACACTTTCTGCAGACAAGATGAGTATTTTACAATGTCAGAAATGATGTTGATTTAGAAATACGCATTATAAATTATGATCTTTATCGTTAAGCAAAATACACATATTTATGTACTTGTATATGTGTCGTAATACTGTTGACTTTTATGGCTGTCATGCAATTAACATGCATTTTTAATTAATACAAGTTTAAGCATTATACGATTGGAAGAACTCTATCGGACAAACAAATATTAACAATATATATCCCACAGATATATTCCGTTATCATTGCACCTTGCGTAATTACTTCCCTTTAAGGATTAAAAAAGAAGTCACGCTCATTCGTGAGCCGTATTTCACTACGACCCAGGTTTTCGCATGGGCTGCTGATGGGGCAATATGAGCAAGACTCGGAGTATCCGGATGCAATTGCATAATTGATTCTATGCAAATAGCCCACCCCTCCTTTATTATGTTGATATTGATACGAATGACCAATGTGACGCTGTAAGTTCATGACCATTGACTGTGTTTGGTTCTCACCCTCATCACCCACCTCAATTCATCCTTGCTGTCACTAATTTAAGCAATCTAGCTTCGTCAACTATTTATGAAAAATTGAATAGCGGGTCTTGTTGCTCAATCGCTTAATGCATGTACCCACTGTCCACTCTTTTCCACCATCATGTGTCTTGTGCAACAAATAACTGTTCAAATCGATTAAAGTGTGAGGGAAGAAAGAAGAAAAATGAGACAAAATCTGATTTCATAATTAAGTCCCTCCAAGTCTTGCACCATATGCGAATCAATTCATGATTTTTCTTTCTCAGAGGATAAAGTGAAGTAATGCCGGTCATTCATGAACACTGAAAAAATTAGTCTGGTCCTTGTTTCATTCGTTCATTGAAACCTGACAGCACATTCAGTAGCACCAATTGCATGTATCTAGCAGCCACTATAGAATGCGGTTTCACGTTAATGATTAGTTTTAGTCATTTAAGTCTGTTGGGAATTTTGTTGTATTTTATTTGATATGTAAAAATGGTTTTATTTATTTTTCTTTAATTTTTTTTCTGTAGTATTTCACGCGCGATATCAAGAATTGTTAATAATAAAGGGTTTCATTACAAGCAGAGTAACATGAGTGCCTTTATTCTGATTTAATGAACTCTTCAGCTTAAAAGTTCAGTGGCTGGTATCATACCGGTTTTGCATCTTTCTTACCAAAGTTTCACACTGGATCATCAGACAAGAAGTATACTTTATGGGTTGCAAGGCTAAAACGCCAGTTAACGGCATGCTATTGAAAAGGAGTAAAAAATCCTTTCTCCATTTGATTAAAAAATGTTTATATTTATTACGACAGATTCAACATTGATTGATACATGAAACGTTTACAAGCTCCTGAAGTTCATTTGTAAATATAACCCACAGTTTCATTGAATCATTTATAAGTTGTAGAATACATAAAAGGTAACTTAAAAGTAATAATTCTATTTGCACATTGTCATTCTTCTTGCAGAACCTGCTCTTCACTTAAAAAAACTATTCTTATAGAAAATTTACCTCTATGCAAACTTATTCAATCGCTAGTATCCAACGATTCATGATAAAATTACGTTCGTTGCAGTTACAACTTGCAATATGTTTACGTTCGGGCATATGCACGACTTTGTTTATAATAATTCAAATTACAAATTCAGCATGTGTCTAGCAAGAGATAAAATTTGCAAGAAAATCTCACATGATCTTCAAGGATAAGTTGGCCGTTAAGAATTTAGGTTGGCTGAATAAAGTCTCAAGAATAGTTGAGAGGAAGTAATAATGGAACAATGGAACCACTTTTTTCTTTCTTCTTCCTACATAACTTCCTCTAAAGAAATGAAAAATATCAACGGCCAAGTTCATTCCAAAGCCTTGCATCAAATGTTCAAGATAGGTTCAAGATATAAAAGGGACTTCACCTTCCTTAAAATTCCCCTCTGGCTTCTTTCTTCTTGCGAGGGAAAGATTGCGTCCTTCGTTTAGAAATGAGACAAGACCACCAATATTTCCTTTGACTGCAACTACGACGTATGACAAGTAAGTATTTGGTTTTTGCTAAGATGTAATGCTAGCTGCTACTTTGGAATTTAAAATTATATTTTGCGAGCAATTATAATTATTTTTCAATATTGTTTCTCATCTCGTGTAATTAAAAATAAATTAATTCTCAAATGTTCAATATTATGAACCGTTCGTGCATACATAGTTTTTAGCCCGAGCGAAGACTTATTGCATCATCATGTCCGTCTGTGACATGTTAGCGGACGAACCTATGTTCACCAAGTTAGAATAAGTCTTAAAAGTCGTATCTAAATAAGATTGGTTCGGACTCGGGCAGTATAAAGTCTGAACTTTAAGCTACATCATGCAACCTGATTGTCATGAATTGAGTTCACATTGCGTCTCATGGCTCAACCATCGTAAGCGTGCCCAAATTTCAGGGTGCCTGCAAGAGATTCAACCCTTAGATGCAAAGAAGTACGTAAGCTGATGTATGCATGTCTATCTATTAGTAAGCGTCTGAAATGTCGTGGTGGCTAACTTCTGGAGAGACTGAAAAAGAAGGTGAAACAGAATCTCACGAAAGTCCTTTAAACTTTAAAGACCCTCTTGTGAGCAGGGGTTTAGGTTTAGGAAGCGTAAAAGAAACAAGTTATTACCCATTATGCCAACCAGCATGTCGTTAAAATTTTTTGGTGCCTTTCTTCGTTCTTCCATTCATTACAAGGGCTAATCGTAAATGTTGATCTTTGCATTTTCTCAACTGACATCAACTCAGTTTGTCCCAAGTGTATTGGGGAAGGCAACACCACGTCCCGAGTCAACTCAAGAATAGAATAGGAAAGGAAGAAAAGAATAATGAACAATGGTCAGAATGCATTTTATTTCTTATTTTTAAGTGAATGGCATAAGGACAATCTTCAGGGAATACAGTTGTCGGTTAAATATTTTCAAGACACTTTGTCTTTCATACAGCAAACTATGAATGTACAACGATACGAGCTAGACTGATACCTATATATTTAGATATTAAGAAATGCATGCAAATGGAGGATTAAACTATGCAGAATTTCCTATAAATTACTTATCGATTGGATATTTACTATAGATAAGTCGTCTCATCATTACTCCTCGTGTAACCAAAGAGCTTTCTAGATTGGTTGAGAAGGGTTGCACATTTTGTCGAACATGCTCATTCTTTAAGATCTCACAAGAAGATCTCTCAACCTTAAACTTGAGATTCAAGAGGTCTTCTTGGTTCAATCTTTCACTCGGAACGTGGAAGCTCACTGATGAAATTTGAGCTCTTTTTGAAGGTTGTAATATTGAAGTAGACATATTTTGTTTTACAAACATGATTTAATTTTGTCAATTTTATAGTAGCAGGTTTACCGTTGAAATTACTAAATATTTAAAAGAAGGATAAAATAGTGATTGTGATTACTCTTCAGATTGGTGGTTGCGGGCATATTGGACTTTTCCTTAACCTTTCCATGTTGCGAGCTTTATTGGTCTGTACATGTTGTTTGAGAGTCCACGTTGTTGGCTGGGATGCCTTCTGTGTATGTCATCAACTCATTAAGAATAATGACAGAGTTATGTAAATTCGAGGTGGGATGAAAGGAGGAGAGATTTGTTGACTGAGGGAAGGTAAGATGAGGAAGAAAGAAGGAAGGAGGAGAATGAGGGGATAATTTGAGAAAGTCGGTCGTAATTGCTCTGCACGATGATTATTCTTTGAAGTGGGACTCCTTTCCTTAAATTAGTAGCAACTTTGTCTTTTATCTAATGAACTTACAAGAGACTCATTATTCTCGCAACTCAGCTATATGATTCTACAAAACAAGGTCTCGATTCCAAGTGTGCTGCAGTTATACGTACGTACAAAATAAAACTGACTGCCTTCCGGTGGCCCTGCTTATGTAACTTTCGTACACGTATATTGGTGGTATAGTTACATATATATTGGTTCATCCTTGCAGACTTTCTCCCTTCCCCACTACTTTTCGTCAGGGTGTCCAACTTTCACATTGTGTATAAATGCATTTCATTTGGGAACAGTATTTTACTATTAACTGTATATTATTGTGAATGGATGGCACACCCTGCAATCAAAGTATGCAGTTGAGTGGTATCAGTGGTATAGATGCATATGGACGCTCCAGCCATATAATTAGGTGTCTCTTTAATCTTTCTTTTCTCCAGAGAAGGAGGAAGGAAACTCTATCTTCATGTTTAAGGTAAGTTCGGAGAAGGTTTCATAGTTGCTGCTAATTGCTTCTAAGTTGACTCAGTTCTTTAAACTCCTTCAGGCTCAACAACATTTTTACTTTCACGTTATCAAATCTGCTTCATCTTGTTTTCACCAAGTCAGCTCATTTCGTAGATATTCCAACCCAACTTTCCTCCTAACATTGAGCTTGTGGAGGAAAAGTTGAGTAGTTTGAGTCACTTATTGGTGAGCGTAGTTATGCACTCAAAATTTGGTTTAACTTTTCTTCGTTTAATCGTGTATTTTCAAATGATGGGATAAAGTATCTTGTAAAGTATCTAGGTAAGTAACTGGTGGGATTTGTCATGGCTTCGTGGAATTGATACTGCCAAATATTTTCTTCCTTGCTCTCCATCTTTTGTTTCGTGTCACGAATATTTTCGAGTTAACTTGTAGAAATTGTCGCACTATTCCTAATAAAATCAATAATCACTCATTTTTAATCAATTTGGGTATCACATATCCTAGAGAGCATTAATTGTATTCTATTGGTCTGTCACACATTTAATATAATTATTTAACGATTATTAGTCGGTTGCATAATTACTTAAAATAAACTATTTATTCAATCAGTGTAAATATGCATTTTACATCAGTCAGGTTGTCTCTGTTGTACTTCTTTATTTCATATTTGGTGTGACCCTAAATGAGCATATCCCACCACGCCTTCCTTATCCAGACTGTGTCTGAGAAAAAGTTGGTGGGTATAAAAGAGTGGTTGAACCCTACTCATGTTTATGCAAAAGCAGTGAAACAAAAGACCTTTTGCCATGAAATCTGAGTCTAATGAGTCCTCATTTTATTTTATCCCCAGTCGTAGAGAAAATACTTTATGCTTTATACTTTAGTCAGAGAAAAGTCCAAGTGGAAGAGAAAAAGGAGGAACAAGGCGTTCCAACGAGGAGCACGATGCTCGCAGTGCCTTTTAAAAGTTGAGTAGTCGAGTTTCAATAAGTTGACTTTATTTCCAAGAGAGCACAAGAGTCTAACATAAGACAAAACAGTTTTCCTCCTCCGTTACGCTCTAATTGACTTATTTCTGCGTAATTTGTTTGTCTAAGCTCATAAAGACTTTGCCCTCTCATCAACGAATTAATGAATTTTATTTTATGAGCTGCAAACAAAATTATTTTTCTTTGAAATAAACTGTTCTCATTATTGATCATAAAGAAGCCCTTTCATTCACTCTTAAAAAAAATTCCACGCAATAAGTTATTATCTTACTGAGGCACATCTGCGTAAAATATTTAGTCTAACTTATTTACATTCTAACACAAAAACATAATTTATAATTACTTATAACCAATTATATACAAAGTAATTTTACATTAGAAAACGTCGAGCTTCTGCCATCCGCTCCTTCCGGTCTGATCTTTTTTCTTTGTACTCTAAACCTGATGCCAATGCCGCCACCAGAGCTATAATGCCAATAAGAACCCCAAATGTTTGCAGAACTGCGTCCCCTGGAGTTAAGAAAAGCTTGACTCTCCAGGTCATGGTGGTTTCGTGAGAGTCTTGCAAAATAGGATAGCTCGGAATCGCATAGATTTGAGAGTTTGGAATGATTTGACGCGAGTCGTGGGAGAAGGATTGGTTGGAGGTGAGACTAAAGCAGTATCCGAGGTAGAAATGGAAATGGTCAACGAAGTTGGGGGAGTGTCCGATGCCGAAAATTGTGTACGGCACGTCCTAATAATGTATGTAAATAGAAAGAATATTTAAACCAAACTTTGACATTTTACACGATTACGAAAATGATTTACCAGCGTGGTATAACCGGAACGATAACCCTGTGTAGCAATTGATGTCTGTGTCTGTCCCTCCACGTCTTTCATCCTGCATGGTTCAGATTAATTCAACTTTTCAGCATTGATGTGCACAAAATCAGAAAATGGAAATAAATTGTTTTAATATATAATGTCGCAATGTTCCTCACGTGTATCCGACAAGGGCTCCCGGAATCAGATTGCCGTAAGGCACATCCTTTTCTAAGCATTGCGAACAAGGTCTACCAGAAAGAACTAATGCTTTAATGAAATAAGAATCTGCGTTTGAACTGGTTTCGAACGCACGGACAATGTAATTTGGGTTTTTAACGTCAGGATGCTTTTGATCGACTGATTCCTGCACAATCAGAACATCCAGTATACCATTCTCCTTGAGATCAAAGAAACTTGCAAAAGTGACATTTTCGTATTCTTGTAAAAATTTAAAGTTTGGTTCAAATGTTCTTGTAAATGGACATCCTAAATTGAATCCCTCCGTATTGCAAGGAACATTTTCAAAAATTACAGCCTTCTTGAGAATCTCAGCTTTTAATTTTGACTCTAGAACCACTAGCAGATCCGGATATCCGTCAAGATTATAATCACCTGCTTGCATTACTATGCTCCTGGAATAAAAATTCTGTGTCTGACTCTCAAAATTACCATTTACAGTCATGTTCATTAGTTGATCTTGTTGTCCAGGCTGGCTTGCTGGCTGGTTTATAAAATTTATTTCGATTTGTGGATTTATCGTATCCTGGAAGTGAATGGGTTCAATAATTCTCCATTCATTGCCACCAAAGTTGATAGGACCAAGCTCAATTTTATGAAACTCTCCGCTCTTATCATCTACAAGAATCCCCCATTTTGTCGAACAATCTTTTTTAGCACAAAATGGAATGATGTGAACCAGATTTGAATTTCTTTCCAAATCGATGAATAATGGTTGGCCTAATATTTCAACAGTCTCATTTTTAAGAAGAATTGGTTTTCTTGGACTCTTGACATGAAGACTAAGATTTGAAGAACTCGAGTCATATATCACACTGTAAATTTCTCGAGAAAAATTGGCATGAGATTCTGTTTGTGATTGGTTTGTTATTAAAATTAGTTCTGGAATAAAATCTCCATCGATGTCCACATACGCATTTGACGATGGGTGGGACATCGGAAAATTCAGATGGTCGGTCGATCCTAGAACGAAAGTAATCAAGAATTGACAAAATTGAGAAAATTATTTAACCATAACATTCACATATAGACACGTTTTTTTAGCTTACTTTTTCCATCAAATATTCCTTCCTTATATTTTGCTGCTGGTCTTCCTTCCTCAGATAACCATACTGCCTTTACTTTAACCAGCATTGGATTTGGGGCGCACATATATGTTTTATTATCGATAGTGTAATTCGTCTTAGTATTATTATTTTCCATTCCCCATATTTCTCCCACCAAATCTAAAATCATGTCTCTGTTTAAATCGACTATTAGTGGCTCTTGAACCAATGGTTTTGATTTCTCATGGTTCGAACAATTGATAGATTTCCCATTTCCAATACAAAATATCAACTCGATAGCAGGAACTTTGTAAGTAAAGTGTAACGTAGCATTTGTGTCAACGGGATTATCTTCAATGTGACTTAGATTGTGACACGAAATGCTGAAATTTTGCGTAATATTGACACGTGCGCTTGTTGTAATCATTAGGTCTATTAAACCGTCGCCCGTAAAATCGCCCATCGTCACAGAGTTGATTTTTTCAAATTTGCTGTCATGTTCCTGATGTTCCGTGAAATTCCACGATGGTCCAAGTTTCATGTATGGAACTTCCTTACTTGCTAAATAAATTGTCACTGTGGTTCTGTTATTATCAATGGTCACAATATCAGTTAACTTGTCCCCATTAAAATCACCGTAAGCGGCGGGGAGTATATCAATATTTTGACCAGTTTTAAACACTTTGTTTGTAATATCTTGTCCGGATGGGGGACTGGGTATTGATTTAAGAGATATAAAATCGCTCCTTACTTTAGAGGAGAGACCAATTAGGAGGGTAACTAACAATGAAATTTGCTGCCACATTTTTTAATAAATACAAGTCTAGAATAAAATAATATTAGTTAACTTTGAATGTATGTATGCATGATATTTCTAGGTGAACTGGCCAAAGTGACAATTGAATGCTAACAAATATGTCATTAACAAATCCTTCAAACATAAAATACACACACGCTATCTGGCTCAGATAATGAAAATGGGCGATAAAGGTTGCAGTTGAACATATAATATAAATAGTAGATACGACATTATGCTTGAGTTACCTTTGCTCAGGATAAACTGTACAAAACATTTTTAAATCCAGACGATTCTGTCACCTTCAACTGATACTAACAAGTTCACTGCATATTAAAATGAACATTAAATGGATATCGTAGATCCAATTATGATCGACAACATAAATATTGTCCATAAATATTTAGAGGAAATGACTATTTGACAATGTGGACCAGCAAGTGGTGAAGGCACTCATAAAGATTTTTAGTTTACATATTGCGGATTGAGAAATACTTTACGGCATTCATTTTTGTGAACGCCGATTTAGCTTATCAACTTGTGTGTAAGAAGATAATGTTTAACTCTGTGCATGCAAGTATTAGTCAAGATATTCATGGTTATTTCTCATCCCGCCCAAACAAAACCCATTGTATTCATTCATTAACTTCTTCCTTCCACTCCGATGAAAGTGATAACCAGTGATTAAATGAGATGATGGTGGTAGAAAGGTACCAAGCAGATACGCAAATCTATGGGCATGATATATGTAATGGACGAGCTGCTACTGAATAATCCTTCCCAATTAATGAAATGTGATCCAACATAGAAGTCACTCAACTTCATAAAGAAGAACTGAACACAATAGTTCTTGTGGCCCGTTATTGCTTACCAACTCGCCCCGCGGATGCCCGACTCGTCGGATGGTGTGGTAAAGATAATCATAAAGTAATTAGAGAAGACAGCACACAGAGTCTCCATGTGTCTTGAAGACACAGGGAGAGAAAACCATTAATGGAATTAAAAGGCTTGGCAGGTGGGCAGAACTCGTCTAATTGATTGCAAATTCATTAAGGAAATCCATTTCTTGCTCGTTTAAGTAATTAACAAGTGCAAAGGTGGAGGTGGAGGGAAGGAAATTGCACTTGGGATTCACACTCTGCTTCAAAAACAGATAATAAAAGCATTGGACACGCAAACACCATTATCGAAGCACGGCGCAATAAGAGACAAAACTCATCACTTAAGTAATTCATGTATGCTTTCCTTAAAATGGTCTCATCTTCTTCAGTTTGTTTGCATTGCCTTATTTTGAAGGTGATGATTTTCACTAATTAATGATTGTTATTGGATAATATGCTCATCATCAGCGACTAAAAGGCTCAAAAATTACAAATGCCTAACTTACGTAATCTCTTTACCAATGTTAAAACCGTAATATGTTAATATCAGTGCATACAGAGACATCCTTATGCGACTGGAGCACAAAATCAGGAGAAAATGTCAAATTATCTTCTTTGCGAAATTCATGCTTTTCAATATACCAAGTCTGAGGTAGAAATAAAATGAGTCAAGGCCCATGCAAAATGAACTCACCAAAGACATAAAATAGTATTGACGATGGATGAAGAGAGGGAAAAGGTCAGTCTGTCTCTTTTGGCATATAAAATACACATTTTATGAGGCATATCAAAGACTTCTTCTTCCACCCATTCACTATGCGAACCAAGTCAAGACTTACACGTGTGTGTGGCATTCTATCACAATCGTAAATTCGAATCGAGCTGCTGCTGCTGACCCCAACACTGGGTTTTCTAACCCTGAACACAACACTTGTTTGCAACAACGTCGCCGTCCCTCTAATAAAACATTCATTTGTCTTCTTATACTTTCTCCGAATCCGCAGTAGAACAAAGCTGGCAACAACCAAGCCAAAATGTGATGACTCTGAAACCACCCTCCCCGTGCTCCGTACTGTATGCACATATATACGCCAAGATATACCTATATATTCATCATTATTATGTTGTACCGGACAGGGATAAAGTTCCTTTTATTTGCAAAATAAATTGCCTGCTACGTCCGTCTTGCTACGATTTAAGGTGTTTGCATTCTATACGATGAAATGTATCAGTCTCAGGTTGGGTACATTCTGACATGATGTCTCACCATAATAATTTAGTTACCACCATCAAACCCCGTTTTGAACTGGTAGAATTTTTTGCAGGCTGATGCAGCATAATGTTGTCGTGTAATTCATGAACAGAGTTTCGGATTGTGTGTATTTTTCCTATCCGAATTATTACTTGATTCTGTATTAAAATTCACCAAATAATTGATGAATTGCCCTTTCTCCAGTTTCATTCGAGAGGAAGTTAAGGTTGGGAGGAAATACCAGATAGCTAGGTAAACATCGTATTCTTACCCTTACTTGTGAATTTGTTATTGCTTTGCCATGTCCACCCATATCCCAATGATAGATTGCACTTGATCGATATCAGAAACTAAGCTGAACAAAGTAAACATGGGATCACCGCCTAGTGATGTTACATGCATAGTGAGTGCTGCTTGTGTCCCATTAAAATGACAAACCAAGTCCAAGTTAAGATATGGTGCATACATAGAAACAGTAACAGAGTATGTGTCAGCTTTAAAAGCTTGGAATCCAATAAATTTTACAACGTTTCAACGACCACGGTCACCGCCCGCCGCCCTGACTGATGAACGAAGTTGGCAAAATGCGAATTTCGCATGGTTCGTATGCCACAGAAAGTAAATGCTTTCCCTCGCATTGATGGGATTTTTATGCTGCTTCTCCCTTCTTTTATGGCAGATGGATGATACAAATGGTCACTAAAATTGAGAAGTTGTATTGGGATACGTATAAAGGGAGCGATGGTCTGATGAAGTCAGGTTGCAAAATACTCGGAAATGTTGAAGCGAAAGTTAAAAAAATCTTGTGCCAGAATACACAAGAAGTTAAATATGAGTAAGGGATTCACGTTATATTTTCGCAATATTTTCGTATGTACGTATGCACGAGTACATAAAGATTTCATACATACATACCTAACATACTATAAAATATAGTAGTATCACTGTGAAGCAATTAAACTTTGTAATCAATTTATGCACTCAGCGCCAGTACAAGATGTTCCATTGTACTTGCTATTTTTTAGGACGTCAAAACTTTTCATGTTACGATTCTGCATACATTGTTAGCATTTAATTGAAGAAACTGAATTAATTTTGTAATCTTGGTTAGTCAAATTGCAGAGAAATAATAACCAACAGTGCAGTTTTCATTTAGCCCGAGTCAGAGACAGAGTCCACCTCTAAATTTTTGTCAGAATTGACCGGACTCAGTGATGGTCGCAGCTTTGTTAAATATTTTCTCTTATTTGGTTTTACACCAAATAAGTTTTTAAGTATGTACAAATCCTGAACTTTCAAAATTGTATTTGCTACGCAGAAGCCATTGTTAGCCTCCACACCAAGTTTCAGCTAAAAATAGTAAATTTTAAAACCGGTATGGGTCGCCCTCCAGGTCCACTCTGATTGTACTTTGCTCTCTTTTAACTTCTACCGTTCCAAATTTCAACTTTTTAAGACTGAAAATCGATATGGGTCATCCCGTAGCCATCAGAAATCTGTGAAAAATTTCAGCTTACTACTTTGAAATTTTGAGCATGATACCCACGCATATACATGACCCCCATCGGTCAACCATTTGACCGATTTTGCTCATCTTCGAAATTAACTTTGCCTAACATTGATATGTTCCAAGCTTGAACTCAATCGGTTCAGCCGTCGTGGCTCTATCAAGTCTCGGATGGACAAACATGCCGATTCCATAAGTCCTGACTCGGGCTAAAAACTCGCCATCAATTTCGAATCGTGAGATAATTCAATTTCCATCCATCCATCCCAGGTGAGTTGTTTCACCTTTTCCCTTTAATTATTAAAGAGTATTAAGGCAGTAGTCGTCGGAGTAAGGAAGGAAGGAAGCAACGGTGGCACATTAGCTTTCACCCATCTGCAGAAGGGGAACCCATGCATACATTATTATCATTGTAGCTAAAGAAGCAACAGTTACCGAGCAAAACTACACATTTGCATTTGCTTGGTTATAGTGCTTCTGGTCCGAGGTCTGGTTATCTAGTGATTGACGAGTGATGGTGAATGGGGCTATAATGAGACACAGTGAACGACGGGGAGAAGAAGACAAGACACGCACGCAACCCGTAAAAATTTGTTTCTCTTGGTCGTACTCAGACATTATTCAGAAATTTATGAAACAAAAGACAAGGAAATTATTCCGTTTTAGCTAATGAACATTCACAGCTCCTGGACAGGGCAGGCCAGACCATCACCACCTGGGATGAGGCGGATGGCATAATTATTTTCATGTTCCTCTTCCACGTACTGTACTACGTACGGTTATAGTTATGTCAAAGTGGGAATACAAATTGGGTGTGGTCCTCCAAAGCTACTGCTTAAGTCAAACTTGGGTATTGCAAGACAAAATGAGAGTAATTTTTATTGCAGACATTGTCGTTACTTTCACCGCCATTAGCTCATCATCATCCAACTCTTTTCGGCCCGAAGCTCTTTTACTTTATCACGTTCACGAAAAAGATTATGATTGGCAACTGTCGGCAAAATTAATTAATCTTGGCCTGCTTTGTTTGGTTCAATAATGCTCATGAACGTGGATGTTTTGTTTGCCCTGGTTTTAGTAGTTATTTATACCAAATAATATTTCTGGTAAATTGTTCTTCTGGTTTTTTAGCTACTAGACAAATTTTCAAGAACTTCACTGTGAAAACCTATAATACACATTAAAAGTCGAATCAGGACACAATTTTATATTTCATCAATCCATCCAATTTTTTGCTCCAAGTCTTACCTTAATTACTTAAATGTCAAAGCTAGTTTTGGGTTGTCCATACTAACATTTTCATTAAATTATTAAACCAAAAGGGCTCAGTCTTGATCAAACAATTTCAGACGATAGATTGATTTTAAGGGACGCCTACATCTGAATTGCTCACTTTCTAACTTGACTCCTAATTTGACTTGTATTTCGGGTATGTCTATTTCTAGTCAATCGTTTGAGCTCAGACAGACCTTTTGATTACATAAGCTCTG